CAAAATTGTACCCAAGTCCGAAATAAGGCAATCCACTTTATACCTGTATTCCCCATTATTTAAAGTGATTCAGACCAAAATTGTACCCAAGTCCGAAATAAGGCAATTCACTTTATACCTGTATTCCCCATTATTTAAAGTGATTCAGACCAAAATTGTACCCAAGTCCGAAATAAGGCAATTCACTTTATACCTGTATTCCCCATTATTCAAAGTGATTCAGACCAAAATTGTACCCAAGTCCGAAATAAGGCAATCCACTTTATACCTGTATTCCCCATTATTTAAAGTGATTCAGACCAAAATTGTACCCAAGTCCGAAAAAAAGGCAATTCACTTTATACCTGTATTCCCCATTATTTAAAGTGATTAATAAAAATTCTTTCAGTTAGTATGTAGCAGCTATTGAATTATTAGCGGCCATATCACTGCCAAAAATAAAGTGAGTATATTTTTCAAGAATTATAAATAATTTTCAATAATTTTTCATTGATTTTCAACAATTTTAAAAAGAATTTTTTTTTCTTCATCGCCATAGAAATCGTGGCATTTTCTTTTAATAAACACGTTGATGAAGCGCGAAAAATGTGGCTTATCATTTTATTGTCGCAATAAGCCATTTAGTTGCTCAACAACATTATTATTAATTTATATTTTACGGCAATATTAGTTAAATTACACATTAATATTTGTTTGGCGTAATATTGACACTGTATGATTTCACACAAACATAAAATACGATTAAATCATATTAATAACTATTTTATGACTTTAATTTCGTTTTATGGTGTATAGATTCAGTTTGCCGGGAGAATTATATCGTTAAGGTCCGACAGCAATAACACTTTTTATGATATAAAAGCTGTATTGTCAAGAATTGAGGCTAAGTACATAAATTATTAGAATTATTGCAACAGCTAAGACAATAAAGGAATTAAGAGCGAGAGACACAGGATAAAAAAAAAATTTTTTTTTGAAGTTTATTTATTAATTTTGTAGAAATAAAATGTAAAATTTAATGTGAAAACAGCAAAAATCACGTACAGGAGTCAGTATAGAAATAATAGCAGTCAGACAAGATCATATATATTCCGTAATCACCTCTATGTCTTTGGAGAGCTTAAAAAAATTACAATTGCAAAATGTACACATGAGAGGTGTACAAAAGGTACACAAAACATGTTTGATTGCTTGAAAAAACTTACAGAAAGTGAAAAATAAATGTTCGAAGTAGTTTTATCGGGCAGTCTAACTGGGTTTGATGCTTCAGTGGAGCTTATTTAATAACTTACATAAATGTTTACCTTTATCCCACCCTTTACTCTAAAGAGTTCTGCAACAATGCTAAATTTGAAACAAAACGCAAATTCGTTTGAAACTAGTTTATGCCACTTAAAATATTAATCAACTGCGATTAATAACAATACGCACTATAACAATTTATTTGTTTTTAGAGATATTAAGATAATAATGAAGATGTTCTGAAGGTGAAGCATTGTAAACTAGAATGCAATAAAAGGTTGATAAATAAGTCAACGAATTATTTCGTTCCTAAAGCATATAGAATATTCCTGGAAGACGAGTTATATAGTCCGTCTCATTGAAAGAGTTAAGCGGAGCTCTTAATTCCTCAAGGGTTACAGAATCGTACCGGACGCTGAAAACATTACGATATTACAAATGCAACTTCTCTGACATTCTCAATAAGTTAAAACGTAATAGCATATCAGAACCAGTTTCTTTGAAAATCTTTATCTAACTCAAAAAAAATTACTGAATCTCGAAATATAACTATCAATAAGGTTAAACATCTGCAATTCGGAGGAAAAAATTCTTTTTTTCATACAGTGATACCGATTTTACGTTAACATCACGGAAAAAGAAATCTAAATATAAGTTTCATAATAGGTCTTACAAACATTAGAAAGTGGAGACGTATATAAAACAAACGTTAATATTTTAATAATTTCATCAATGATTTCGACATATGTTTTCCGAATGTCACGTTTATGTAGAATAAGTAGAATATAGCAGCAGATAGATCATAGAGTTGAAATAGTAGTGTAGTATTTCAACTCTATGAGATAGATAGCTAAAATAACGGAAGAAAAAAAAATGTGCTAGAACAACAATTTTAGTGGCGTCATCTATCGGTTTTAACAGCAATTACACATTTAAGTAAGGGGGCTGATATCACATTGGAACGATACCGAATCTTCCAGTGGTAAGATATACTTATATACATAGGAGTGTGCGTGTGAGGTGTTAATATCTAGCTCATTACTAATAATGCTTGTGCATAAGATCAACACTTTGTTCAAAACTTTTTCAAAATTCATTTCTTCAACTGTTAGAAAATCTGACTCGAGCTTTACATAATGATCAAAAATGTGAATTTTACTTAAAAATGTGTAGTTTAAAAGAACGTAAAATTATATCTGGATTAAAATTCTTTTTCAAAAAACTCAATTAATTATTTTTTTAATTATTGTACGCAATAAATAAATTTTGACTTTTTAGATTTTTTTACATATTGTAGGACTTTTCAGATTTTTAGACTTTTTAGATTTTTTTACGCAGGAGGAAGGGTTTATAGCCATCTCTTCTCCATTTATTTTTCAACTGGAAATTGCACAACTGCCTTTGATGGTGAAGTTGCTGCTATTCGTGTAGCTCTGTCGCAGCCGCACTGTCATCTGAACAGTTTTGTTAAGGCTGTAATCTGTGATTAAAAAGTGACAATTTCTGCTGTGAATTCAAGCACTACTCCTGCCTCCTTTAACATCCTTCATCCTTGAGTGTAAAAAGCTCCTACAGGGCCTGTACGGGCTTTCTAAGGAAAGTGTTTTGCAGTGGATCCCGGGACACTGCGGTGTAGCTGGTAATAAATTAGCAGACCATCTTGCTAAGCAAGCATGGAGCTTCTATCCCACAGACATTAAAGAAAGCTGTCCCTCTCACCAATGCCAAGTGCCTAATCAAGAAAAAGATGATGGATCTCACTTTAAACCAATACACAGAGAAAATTCTGATAAGATCCGGTGGAATAATCTCAAAGATCTTCCTATATGGCCAAGACGTAGGGCTGTTGCCGAGTTTCGACAAGACGCGACTGCCTCCTCAAACATCTCCATCGAATTCATGTTGCTCAAGCCCCTTTCTGCACGCTCTGTGACCTTTAAGCGGAGATGGATGCAGACCACCTCCGTCTTTGCACGGCACTAAAGGACATCTTTTTGTGTGACCGTTACTAGCGCGCAAGAGACTTATTGGGTTCATAAACTTTTCTTGCCACGTTTGTTATTGTTTGTGTTTATTTATTCTGTTGTTCCTCCCTTTGTGGTGAGTGGTCTTTTGTAACCTTGGCCATTGGAAATAAAAATTAAAAAAAAACATATTGTAGGATATTTTTATGGCGTATTTGTTTGCATTTTGATCAAGAAATTCACTAGATTTAACTAATAAAATAGCTAAATGGCATAAAACTATCCAGAAGATTACTTGATTCGATTTCTTCTCATAATTTTCCATTGTAATTAAAAACTAGGACCAACAAGGACAAATCCAATTATGTTTTGACATAAAAATTGTTCTGTTCAGCATTTTAACAAAATAAAAACTTATAACTTAACATAAACTAATAAAAACTTATAACACTTATTTATTTGAGTTTTTTTTTTCTTTTGATTCTTAAAATATGCTAGTTGTTTTTCAATATTTAACTGAGGGGGGGGGGTTCAGATTTCCGGAGTTTTAACCTAATGGTATTTAATGCGTTTCATATTTAAATTCAATAATAATGAACACACTTTATTCATATTCATTTCCCACAAAATAGAAACCAGCTCTAAATGTGAATAATTCTAAGCTTCTTCCACACAAAAAATAGTTTCATATCATCCTTTAAAATATTTAACAATTAAAGCAATACCGATGATATTTTTATTATATTAATGCATAACGTTTAATTTATAATCAATTAATTTTGGCCCTAATAAAATAAAATAATACATTGAGAAATGACCTATATTTATGTGAATGCACTTATAATTGACATTTCAAGTCACTGAAGTAAAAATAATAAAACATAATTTAATAAATTAAAATATATAATTTAATTACTGAAGAAAATAGTATCTTAAATGATTTTTATTTGCAGTTAAGAGCTTTTTCCAATAATAAACTGTGTAAGAGAAAGATAAGCATTTATCTCATATTTTTATTTAAATGTTTTTTTAAGACAGAAAATTTTATCTCAAACAATATTTCAAAGCATGCGTATCTATAACTGAAAAGTTTTTATTTTTATCGACAAAAAAATACAAGGCACGAAGCATATTTATTTTCTGAAGGGTGAGTAAATTATATATAGTGTCGCCATCTGTTCGACATTTTAACAAACAGCTGATAGCCCAACAGTGTTTCGTAGAGTTGCTATGAAACTTATACAGTTAAAAAATTCAGAATTATTTACTTACTTCTCCACCTTATATAATTAAGCAAAACTCTTTAAAATAAGAAAAAACGTAACTCCTAAACAACTCAAATAAAATTGGATTTTCAAGTACTGACTATGCAGACAATTTTAATTGTTCAAGGAAGACCTTTAAAACTATTTAATTCTTTGGTGTAGTGCTCCCGAACCTTTTTATCACCACGGACCTGTCAATGTTTGATAATTTTAACGCGCCCCACAGGGGGGGGGGGTGACGTACATTTTAGATTATTTCTATTCGTTAAATTTAATTTAATTGTATTTAAACATGCATTCAAAATAAAATACAGTTACACCAAAAAATAAATATAAAGTGATAAAGTGAGTTTTATTTTAACTTACTAGAACGTTAAATCAATTAGAACCCTGAGCTTGTTTCTTTGCAATGAGACGGTTCCATCTGAGGATAATCGGAGACAATGACACCCGAAGTGTGTTGCTTATGTCCAGTTTATTCGAATGTAAATTTCGCGCAGTGTTTTCGTGTTTTATTTATGATATTTACAGTTATGATGATTGATTTTCTTAATAAAACTAATTGAATGAGAAAATAGTTGCGGTGGTTTTCTTTTCTTCTTCTTTTTTTTTTTTTTTTAACTTTTTAAAGCATTAAAAAATTTATGTCACTGCCTTCGGGTGCCCCTTTTTTTAAATAAATAAAATTTTAATGGAAATTAAATTCAATTTCAATGAAATGGGCGGCCCGGTACCATTTGATCCAAGGACCGGGGGTTGGGAAACACTGGTGACAATATTTTAAATTACTAAAACTAATACAAACACGTACTTTCACTGATTAAGCATAATTTTATACAAACAGCTTACCTTGTTGGTAAGAGTAAAAATCAGCCTAATTGACGAATGACACTTCAATTAGGGTGATTTTTTAAAAATTTTATTTATGTAATTTTTTCAGCTGTTTTAGCTGGGGTATTACATATAATATTTATTCGGTCTAATATGAAGTTATTATCAAGCTATAAATTATCAAAAACTAAAATTGGGTATGTCACGTGTAACTTAAGACGTTAGCGCCAGCTGATCGCTTATAAGCAAAATGGCGCCTTAAAGTTGAGCTAAGTTTCTCCACATAAGTTGGAATGTTAATTAACGTGAAGTTAATAAAATACAGCCCCGTATCACACATCGAATTTATGGAAAATTAATTGCTCCTCGTCTTCATTTTTTACTTAACTTAGATTCATTATTTGGTTATGTATTTTATTGCAATCGCGATAAATATTAACCGCTGTAAAATTTTGCAATTCGCTTAATATGTTCTCGAAATAGAATTATCTCGATATAGAAAATAAGAATTAATGGGACCTAACTTAGGACAGCTCTCTGAACTAAATTATTGGGATCCTATTTTTTAGATTGCGACTACCCCTAATATTTTGAGGATGAAAAATCCGAACCCATAGAAGCGTCCCTCGATGAATTTTGAAGAGGAATCAGCTCGTTAAAAATTGGGAAGAGTGGAATAATGATAGTCACTAATGAGCACAGGGTCAAATTTGATTAACTGAAATAAGAATTTTTAAATCTTTAAGAGCTCAAGAATTAGATTTACTTATGGGGTTTGCTAGTTTTAAAGTTTAGAATTCTAATTTAAGTAGTTATTTATTTAATGTTTCCTCTACTATTAGGTAATAAGAAATTCTGAAAATACAGGAAGTTTACTATAATAATGGAATAGTGCTGCAAGAATGGAAACAACTATTTTTTTAATTGTAAAATATTTTTAAAAAATGTCTATGTCAGAAGATTTAATTCTTTAGAAATGGTGTTAATTTCACCTCTCCAAAATTTGCTCCCAAAGCAAGCGAAAGTAATAAGCTGGGTACAATTTTAATAACAGTATTTTTATTAGACCTGAAAATAACCACCCTGAACGAAAAAAGTGGACGAAAAAAGTGGCGACTCAGTGGCGACGAGTGAACGAAAAAAAGTGGCGACTCAAATTAAATAAGCAACCGGTCACTTTTTCCCTCTTCTTAAATTTTTTTTACTTATAATTTTTTTTTTTTTTTTTTTTTTTTTTTTTTTTTTTTTTTTTTTTTTTTTTTTNTTTTTTTTGCACATTAATTTTTCTTAAGGCGAAGTCAAGTTAGTTTGTTTAACAAAATTTTGTCACATATTTATATAATTTTTTTTATTCAATTAACGTTTTATAGCCGCAGATTATATTTAATATGAATTTTAAAAAATGTATATATGATATAACCCCTTAAGCTGCAATGTCGCCTCTGTGGCTCCATCAACTGTCCCCACTCTAAAATTAAACATTTTTCTAGCTTAAAAATTAGTAACCACATTTTTTAAGAATTTGATGAAAATATTGTACTATGCATTTTAAATGATTTAGTGTCTATATTTGTTGAAATAGCATTTGAAGGTACTTGAAGTGCAAAGGGTTAATCTGAGCAAAAAAGTAAAAAGTGGCTATTAAATGAATAGAACCTATTGGTATTGTTTATCGACCCGTTAGGTTGGAAGAAAAAGTGGCTACTAAGTTATTAGACTCGACCGGCCACTGGCTACTAGCTAAAAATTTAAATTTTGAGGCACAATTTTTGTATTACCTTTTCTCTTTCATTGTTAAGCAAATTTTAATCAATATGGATACATTTATCATAGAATGGGATTTCAAATTAATGAAATGAATATTTTTAGGCCTAGATTGTTTTTTTTTTTCTAAATAAATTAATCCTCAACTTGCTTTGGCCTCTTTGGTTGATATTTTGCACCCTTTTCTAAAAGCTTTGATTCCAAATTTCGAATCTATAAGCTGTTATAACGAAATTCGCATTTTTTCGTAATTATTCGTTTTTTTTTTTTTTTTTTTTTTTTTTAAGCTTATAGGTTCGCAACTAATGTACAGTGCGCAAAAAGAAAACTCTGAATAACTTTGGATCAAATAATCGGATCTTTACGTTCTAGATTGTAGGAGGTGAAAAGATATCTAAGGAATTAAGATATTTAAAATTTGATTTCTCAGGAACCATACAACCAATTTCGCTTAAATTTTGAGTATTGCTATGCAAAATAACATTCTTGAAAAAAATTATATACCTTACAGTTCAAAAAATTTTCGACTATTATTAAATAAAACAATAATAAATATTATCAGAAAGTTATTATTATTATTTTTTACATGGAATTATCTTTGGATAACCGAATTTCATAATTGTGTGCAAGAATTTTTCAATTCTCTGAAAAAGTTTTAGAAATATGGCGAAATACGCGAAAAGTAAAATTAACATTAAGGGGTTCAAACTTTGAGCCGTTATTGAGAAAATATTTCCCAGACTGCGGCTACCCTCTGTATTTTAAATCTGAATTGGTCGAAGAAAAGGTTTTTTTTATTCAGGGAAAGTACGTTTATGTGTTTGATTTTGGTAACTTCAAATATCGTCTGCACTAATTTCTTAGCATATTTGAGATCACCTGCTCCAATCATTACGATTGAGTTCTAGAACTTGAAGATCCGATCATTGGCACAAAAGTTACTCGGGGTGATTCGTTTATTTAATCATTTGTTTATTTCTTTTGCGTACTGCACAATTTATAAAACAGTTTATGAAATCTTTTTTCATAGACTATTATCATAGAATAAAAGTATTTACGAGATAAATACTGCGAAGAATACTAGAAATTATTTTTTTTACTCATTAGAATGACAAAGAATTCACTTCAAAACCGTTTCTAAGACGGGGGTGGAAAGATA